TACCACTGATTAAGCAGTAGGATTTTTCTTCCTTTATCTCCCAAATTGCATAAATCTGTTCTCGTGGTTTTCAGACAGTATAACACAATGAAGACAAAACTGTATGGTACACGAGAAGATATGGATTGCACGATAGCTTTCACAAAGGCTACCGGCCTCCTAATATAAGTTTTCTGACAGAAGGATCGAAGAAGAAGACAGTAGTACCATAATCTCATGATGGGAGAAAACTGGGATATCCCCACGTAATATTTATAAAGAAAGCAGCGGGTGTGCTTTAGTCACCGTTCATTGTGGAGGCGGCACAGGAAAAGAAGCATTTATGATTAAACGTCTGCACTGATTAACTTCCTCCTATTCCCTGTTTATTTGGGCTTGCTTGATCCGCACTCTAATGGAAACCGCTGGGTCAGATGAAACTTTGCTTGTTTCGGTTGCTACAGACGGGAAATCTGGCGTTTCTTTTCTCTGTTCTTGCCTGTTTGTACACGAAAGTGGTTGCCGGTGGCCTTTGGCGTGTTGTTTACGTGGTGGCGTTGGTAGACGTCTTACCCTGGAGTCAAGTCGTGTGTTGCTAGTATCGACCTGAGATGCATGTGGGAAGATTTTTACTTTAGGGACTTATATAGAGAGTGAGTACTAGCTGAGTTGTTACACATAGCAGTTTATATTACTGTTACTTAGAATACTTAGATGATCGACGGAGAAGTTTGACTGTTTAGTCGATTGTTGATTAATCATAAATCTTCCTACTAGTAGCTATTACAGTCATTCAAGTGACCCACTTAAAAACGAAAGTAGAGATCGCTTAGTTACAAGATGGAGTCGGTGGTCCAAGAAAAATGGCTCCTTTGCGTATCCGTTACTTTGAAATCCCGTCGCTTAATACTGGCTGTTCAGAATCGAATATGTGGGCTCAAAGTTATTCAGAAAAGGTCGCTCAACCAATCGACACCTAACTTACATAGCGATCTTTGTTCAGCCAAATAAATTTCACTATTTGCCATGCGGGAAGTAAATTTCTTTAATATCTCCTTTTTAAAGTGAATATATATACTAGGAATTGTCATTTTTGGATTCTGCGTCCATTTTTACATAAATATGGGCAGTTTTGCTGGAATCTGTACATCACAAAATTTTAACTTTCAATTTCTTCCCGGTTACTTCTTTAAAGCTAAATCGGCGATTTTTCAAAATGGCTACCGCATGGCCTAAACAAACTGTTTATCTGAGATTAATTAATCTAGTTATTTATAAAAACAGTTCAAAAATAATGCAAGTTTTATTTGTATTAATAATTTACCTTTCTTTAACTTTAATTTCACATGAGTTTTAATAATTTTAAATACCTGAAAATAATGTTTTAGCACGTTTTTAACATAGACTATTTCTAGGGTATTTTGCGTTAAAAATAGACACAGACAGTGGTTTAAATATTTTATAATAATAGTTTTAAATGAATATATAGTAGTTATTTAATCATTTTTTGAATCTTTAACCATTATAGCATTTTTTAAGCCATAACCTATCATTGGGCATGAACAACATTTTTTGTTTGAAGCCTTTTTACCTGTTGACCCCCACTCCCCGCACCCAGACTCTCAGACTGACATTTTGAACGCAGACAGTGGTTTAAACATTTTATAATATACTTTTAAATGAATATATAGAAGTTATTTAATCATTTTTTGAATCTTTAGCCATTATAGTATCTTTTAAGCCATAAATTATCATTAGGCATGAATAACATTTCCTGTTTGAAGCCTTTTTACCTGTGGACCCCCACTCCCCGCACCCAGACTGACATTTAAAAAAAATGTCTGCCACACATTTCTGCACTATGATTTTGTGGTGCATTTTTATTGTCTTAAATAGTATAAATAACAGTTATTATTTATGACTGATACTGTTTTAAAATTGTAGTATTGACTTTTAGATGATGATTTAGAAAGTTAATTAATAAAATTAATAATAATATATTATATTATTTTCAACTGAATAAATTCACTTACTTACAACTTATGATTAATAATATTTAATCACAGATCACGTAGGACATAGATAAGTTAATAAAATATAATGTAATTTTTCCTCTTACCTTATGAAATGCTGCTCCATGAAAACACAACATAAATCCGAAGCGAATTAGATCTCCATGAAAACACAACATAAATCCAAAGCGAATTACAAAGGAGCTTATTTAATAATTTTACTCTATGAAAAACATAGCACTGAGTCACAAATCGGGCATGAGCGGTTACCTTCAATTATTTTAAACAAGTAAATAAAATATCAAGCAGTGACTAGTTAAGAAGAAGAGGGGAACAATGTGGTGAAATGTCTCATCAATAAAATGAAAGAATAACTCGCAAAGATTGAAAAAGGGATTATGTTAAATCAGTAAGAGGGGCGCTCATTTTCACCTGGTTATAAAACAATATAGGGGTCTCCGTATCAAAGTGGTCAAGCCGTTAACCTCGCGCTCGGAAGATTGTGGTACGTTCATTAACAACTGCATTGTTCGACTCGAAAATGCATTTTTTTGGTTAGCGGAGACCTCTGAGGGCTGTTGCTGGGGCTACGGTATCCAGGCTTTGTGCTAAGCTCTCGGCATGCGTTATTTGTTCAGTATTGTGGAGAAAGACAAAGCCATATAAAATCAGTAACGATGCAATGAAGTCAATCCACTCGCTATTAAACATTTTTTAAACAGTGGAATAAAGCAAATTTCGGTCAGATGTATGCACACACACAAACATACACACACACACAAATGAGAGTGTGAGAAAAAGCATTTTTCAACAAATAGAAAAAGATGCATCATAACAGGAAGAAAAGATACAAAAGAATATATATATATATATATATTACAGTATACGTCTTGCAAGACTCACTGGATAATTAATAATAATTAATTCATAAGGTATTTAATGAATACTGATAAATTTACTCATTTTTTTGTTATTTAGGTTTGCATCACATCATATTTTTAAAAAGGCAACAACTTTAGTTAGAGCTTGCTGTCCTGAAAGCAATGACATATGGTTGCTAAGGGGTTCAGCAAAAAACTTGAGAGTTATTGACATTAAACATGATAAATTTAGGTCCAGTTTTCACTTGGGAACACGCCGCCATCTTGTTTCTGTGTTTTCTATTATAATTTTTTGAGGGCACTTTCCGTCACTGAAATGGGAATATCTCCGCTTAGAATTGACATACAGACTTCATTGAGGTACCGTTGGACTCAGTTTTTCAACCTCTATTCAGCTGTCTTGGTTTAAAAGTAAAAAACCTAAAATAAAAATTTTGACTAAAATCCCTACTACTAGTTTGTTCAAAGTAAATAATTAACTAAATTCAACAATTGTTATTATATTATTATGTAAGCTGACATTATTTTTAATGTCAGTAATATTATACTCACGTGCTGACTGAATATCAGCTTTAAGATGACAAATCACTCAGATTTTATTTAATAAGAATCAATCATGCACAGGTAGTTTTATGTACATTTTAAAAATTAAGAATGCAAGTTCGGTATCTTGCATTTTATAGTTGTAGCACAGTAGCTAGCAGTGAAATACTTGTACTTATCGGCCAGTTTAGAGCTGATGTCAAAACCTCCGTCCAGAGAAACTGACCTGCCAACTCAGCCTAAATGTGACCCCAGGAAATGTTCCTAGAAATAAAAACGACCAATCAAGGGCAGTTTACCATTTACCAGTAGGTGCCCTTTGCTACGTACATCGCGTTTGTGTGTACCTTAAACTTGTCACTGTCAGATCGTGGATAAAAGGTCCTTTCTTTACTACTTTTGCTCTGACTCTACTGCTTGAGAAATACTTACATAGAAAAAGAATGGGTCTCTATTTGACATATTTATTAATTTCATGCAACCATATGAGTATTAACATAACATGTTACTGCTTTTTTAATGCAACCAAAAAGTTCGTTATTTGTGAATTTATGACCAAGGGTTGAAGTCAAGATGCTGTATAGGTGTAGGTTTAAAAACCATGGACTCCCCTTAATATTGAGATTCTGGGGCCCAGCTAGGGGGGGGGGGGGGGGGGGGGTAGTAGATCCACTGCCTCTAAGCAAGCATGTCATAAAAGTTGACTGAATAGTGATTAGGGTGTTTCCTTTTTAATCGGAGTCAGCATAACTATTAATACCTACTAATAAGCTAGATCTGGGATTTGCTCATGTTCTGGTACAAGACTGAGGTCCAGAAGTGGACAAACAGCCAGAACTTTCCTGGTTGTTTATTCACTTTTTCTAGGACCTAATTGTTCTGTGCAGACTGTTAGACTGTTCCTCACCTGACACATGCGCTTTGACTTTAAGAGGAACAGATTTCTTCAATATCTAGCAATGTCATGACTTTTACAAGTACCTCTATGTTCAGTTGATCATTTAAAAACACATTATGTGATATAGTGCAAGTATCACCTTTTACTTTTATTTATTAGTTACTCTTCTGTTTATCTATTAAAGTCTATGTGCAGCTATTCTCTCTCTCTCTCTCTCTCTCTCTCTCTCTCTCTCTCTCTCTCTCTCTATCTCTCTCTCTCTGCACTTTTAAAACTCTCTACCTAATATTGCATACTCTCATAACATGCTACTACAACGCCGAAAGATGGTTTGACTGGGAAGGGCTTCCGAATGTAAGAACGGGCCTGCTTGCCCTCTTGAAAATAACGTTTGTTCCTTCCCTCTCCTAATCTCTCCCATTCCTCCCTCCACACCAACTCACTTGCTGTGTTTATCTGTGTGTCTCAAGCAGTTTTCCATTAACAAACTGTTTTAGTCATCCCTCCCACCTCAGCGAACTAGTTGTTACAGTAATCCACCATACCCTAGCTACTTCTTTAGCTAATTCTGTCCGCAGGCTTTTTTTGAGCCAGCTCTCCAACTGTTACATGTAGCCAAGTTCACAGTGGTTGTATGTTCACACTTACAAACTGGCAGAAAGCTAATGAATCATTTCCTTGTTGCAGTGACCATTGAGCAGTCTGATTCACTGAAGGCAGAAAGAGAAATGTACCAGGCACTCAAGGCCAGAAAAGAGGCATTGGAGGAGTCATTCAAGAAGAAGATAGAGGAGCTCAAACTGCTGTGTTTGCAGGAAGGGGTATGTATTATTTTATATTTATTCTAACATCATATTGCTTTGTGCTATGGAGAGGTGGAACTTCATCCCCGATCCTAATTGGTTTTGTGATTATCAAACCTCCCCTAGCACTGTTGTTTTAAAAGCTGGAAAGTTGCCAGCAGTAATCATAGTGTGATGTTTGGCATTACGGTTTAACATTATCTTCTGAAATACTGAGAAGCCATACCAGATTATTGTGTTTATAAATATTCAAGTTAGAATGATTACTGGAAATCTGTATTCAGTCACAAACTGTTTCTCATATCCAGTTTTCGCTATGGGTTCCTAGGTCGTGGGGGGAGGGGGGTGATTTGTCCAACTGCCCTCTAACAAAAATATAATAAATGACGCCTAATTATGAGTGGTAAAATAGGATGCGTTGGGCCAATAGGCACAGATATCTCAGCCTATCTGTAAACCACAGCACAATGTGCCAGCCACCCTCTTGAGGGTGAATGAAGAAGGGTTACGAATGGAAACATATTCAGTTGCAGACTTAAAACAAAGTATGAGGGTTTAATACTTTATGTACAAAAAGAGAAATCCCTTTCGATCTGTTTTACCTTTTATATTAAAATTCATCACTTGTAGCCAGTTTTAATATGTGGCCATGAATCCTGGACAGTTAGTAAACAAGCCAAACAATTTCTTGGGGTTTAAGAGATGTGGTTTTACAGAAGAATGCTTAACATTCCTTGGGCAGCCAAAGTTAATAATTCATAAGTTCAGAAAGAGGCGAGGGCCTGAAGACAACTTATTGCAACTATCAGAAACATTTATCGTTTTTGGGGGCCCTGTTATGAAAAGATATCAACTGGAACATGTTGCGATGACTGAAAATATTTGTGGACAGAGAGACAGAGGAGGACAGTGCAGAAAGATTTTTGTCCGCCTCCTGCATCTCATGAAAGGGTATCAGTTTATGAACTCAAACCGGCTATTAGAGAGTGTAGGTTGTTGGGAGGCATCATCACCCACACTAGTCAGCAAGGCACTTAGTGGTCATTGTGCAAGTCACTCTTTCAAAGGTGTACAATTGTTTACACGCTAAAGGCATCGCTTGGAGCCTTCACTAGAAACTCTGACACTTGGGAGGCTGCTGCGCAAAACAGGTACGGCGAATTACGAGGGATCCAGAAAAGGGCTAGCTGAACAGCGCAGGCAGGCTAGAAAGACCCTAATAACAATCCCTTTACCTGCAGACACTTTTCCCTGCCCTCATTGTCGTAATTCTTCTAGGCCCACATTGGGCTTATAAGTCACATCCAGACTCAAACATTTAACTATAGTTTCATGATGGATTAAAGAAAGAGTGTTCCTCGTCAATTGTGATGGGCGAGCAACAACATGATGATGGTGATGTTCTGTACTCTTTAACTTTCTGCCTGAATCATTATCCGTAGCACAAGTGTTGTTGCAATACTTTGTACATTCTGTCAGCATCATCATTGCTATGCTGTGTAACCTGTTCCCTGCTTCCTACATTTTATCTGAATCATGTCTGACAAATGCCCTGTGTCACATCTCTTGCATCTACTGCTGTTTATGGCAACATTGGCTTGATTTACTTTCTGTGGCAGGAGTTGACAGGAGAGCTTCCTCCAGACTTCCCAATGGCCCCAGGAGAGCAGCCACCAGTGTTCAGAAGGAGGGTTGGCACAGCCTTTTCCTTGTCTGTCAAAAATGTGCAAGACACAGACCAGGTAAGGGCTGTCATTTTCACTAATGAGTTTCTTTAACTCATTTCCTGCTCTGATAGTTGGTTTGTTGTCGGGTGTGAGTGTGTCTCTACCTCAGTTGTTGATCATTTATGCCTTTTCTGTATAGTTCTATTATCTACACCTAATCTTAGACCCCACCCCCACCATATATATCTCTCTCTCTCTGTCTGTCTGTCTCTCTGACTCTCTCCGTCTCTCTCTCTCTCTCTCTCTCTCTCTCTCTCTCTCTCTCTCTGTCTGTCTGTGAGAGAGATATACAGACCCACTCTGACTCTTACTCATGGTTTTACTGAACGATACTTATAGTTCCTTAGACAGCCTTACATAATAATATATGCTATTAGAGAACACAGATTGTGGAGAGGCATGTTCGACAAAGCACTTGTTAAGATGATGGTAGAGAGGTGTATAAATCACATCCCATGGTGATATCAAGTGTGACTAACAAGACCTGCTCATGTTGAGAACAGTTTTACAAAATTAAAGCGTGGCATTTCAGCACCACTGTTGTCATTACATGTTTTTAACTCGTTAGTTGCATATCCTCAACAGGACATTCCAGAACCAACCCAAGTATTATTTGGTTGTTTTATTTTTCTGTGCAAATTTACATTAATTAGTTTGCCATTGCTTTTTGAACAGTCGACTCCTAATATCACTGTTGAAACCAACACAAGGTTGTCTGCAGCTGGGATCAAACCTGGCATTTATAAAGCTTGTTCACAACGTCTAAACCCTAGACCTAGTTCTACTTCTAACTCAATTCTGTTTTTGAAAAATCTCAGTGCTGTGCACAAACTTCGTAGCACTGATAAGGATCATGAAATATTTTGGGTAGATTTTTAGCTCCAAATTTTGCCTGGGCGGCGTCGTTAGATTACGTTTTTCAATTTCCAACTGCTAAGGGATTTTTTTTTTTTACATGCACAACAATTCACGGGCGTCCGATCATACTACCCAGAGACCAGGAGAAATGACTAGAAGTCCACGTGAAAAAATCCCAGCTTTTACCGGGGCTTGGACCCGGGACCTCTAGCACTCGAAGCGGATGCCAGACATTGAGACCATGCAACCCCTGATATATAATTTACATATGTAAATGTTGATGTTAGCATAAGATGATCGTTGTTTTTTTGTTGTTTTTGTGGCACTGAAGCTGTCTACTGAGCTGTCAAAACTGGAGCTAGAAGTGGAGCTGCAGGGCAAGATTACAGCGGCGGCTCACAGACTGGCAAGTGATAAAACAGTCAGCAAGTATGTCCGAAAACAGAGGAAACAGTCTTACACTAAAGCGTTTGGAAAGGTAAAAATTTGTTTGTTATTGGCTTTTGCCTCTTTAATTGGTGATTTGTATATGTGTGTATTTATTTTTTTTTAGCTTACTTCAGAAGAAAAAAAAAAAAGCCACAAACTGCAGAATGCACAGTTTATTGTGTGGCATATTTTAGCTGCATCATCATGGCCAGCTCTCTTTCCTGGTACCTTGCCTTCTGCTACAATATTTCACTTTCCAAGACGATATGCTGTTTATCAGTCTTCCTTGATTTTTAGATCTTCTATAATGTCAGTATTTGTTTTCTTCTTTGTCCGAGGTTTTCTGAGAATCTTTCTGTTGCATTTAAGCACATATTATCTCCTTAAGGACTGCGAGATAGTCCACAACTCACATCTGTGTGTGGCTTCAAGGAAAATTCATGCTATCAAATTTTGACTTTTATGTCCTTGCTGGTGCTCAGCCATATATGTAAGGAAGGACAACAAAAATAAGCAAGCAGAATTAAGTGAATTCTGTGGCACTTCAGCATTATTTACTTCGTTGTGTCTTCTTTCTAACTTGTTTGCTCTGCTGATGAAGGCTAGTCAGTGTTGTTAATTTTGGTTAATTTTTTATTTATTGTAATTGTAATTTTGTCCACCTGACAATTTTTTTTTGCTTGCTCTTTTCCAGTTTACATTTTTTGCAGTTTTGTCACAGTTATATATTTGCATGTATGATATTTAATTTGTTTCAATCATCTTGAATGTAAACAGTTTCTAAATTTATAGAAAAACCAAATGTATAACCTGTTCTTTTAACCTGTTTCTGCAGCTGAAAGAAATGGAGAAAAAATTAGATGACATGCGCAAAAAGATAAGGAAACCAGCAAGTGATAGCCAGGCCGGCAGGTCAGCGGACGGTATGTACAGTGTCCCGCAACCCCACTCTAAATGTGACCTTGACTTTGGTGACAGTATCAGTGTGCATGACCTTTCTACTAATATTCAGGACCACAGCTGCGGGAGCAGTGGAGACCTCAGTGACTTTTCTGGAAGAAAAGAGGCCAGTTCTGGATATTGCAGCTCGGCCACTAGTTCTTTAAGCAGCATTTCTCGCCAAGTTGTCGCCGATGATACTGGCTCTCTCAGCTCGGCCACTAGCTCTTTAGGCAGCATTTCTCGCCAAGTTGTAGCCAGTGATGCTGGCTCTCTCAGTGATAGCATGAATTCCACACAGTCTTCCAGGGATAATGTGTCTTCAGATGTAGACTCCCAGACTTTCAAAGGCACTTCTGAAGGTGTTTTAACCTCAGCCCGAACTGAGGGCGAAAGTTTGAAAACTGGTCAGCCTGGAAAGAGAAGGCATTTCATCATTGCTCGTGGGCAAAACAGGGCTTCTGGGGATTTTAGAGGCTACCTTAATCAGTCACAGTCCCCAAGCACAATAGAGAACAATCATCAGTTAGATTTGAGCAGAACTGCATCTGATCATGAAAATATTTTGGATTCCACATTAACGAGTGTTGATTTTTGTGGAGATGCTGAAGAAAAAGGTGTAAAATCAGCAGAGCAGACGGCGGGTACTAAAGTTCAGCGAAGAAAGCAGACTTTTATAGCCAGCAAAGGTGGGATTAAGAAGTTTCATTTAGAGCTGCCACGACACAATGGCTTCCAGGCAGGGTGGAACATGTTTGAGCAGATTTTAATGGGTGCAGATCATGCTCATGAACCTGCACTTGTGGGCAGACAGCCAGTGAAAAATGCTGCTTGTAGATTTAGAGATGCCTCGGAGAATCACAGAGATCCAGTCAGAAGACATAGAGAACTACTTGACAGAAATAAAGTTCCAAACTCTGTAAGGAGGAGTCGTTCTTTTGACTGCTCTCATGACTTTGAAGCGAGGGGGAGGGAAGTTTGTGAGGGTGTGAGCACAAGTGGGGATGATTTAAAACTTGCCAAGGTCTTCACCAAATTGAAAGACCCAACTACACTTCAGAGAAAGCCCTTTATCTTTCATACCATGGGCCGGAACAGGCCCAAACAAACAAGCCATATCCAAAGCTAGATTGACACCTCTGCTTCTAAACTGGCGTGTGGCAGATGTTACGCGCTGACATTGTCTTAGAAAGCATGTCCTGGCCTGTGGTAAGGTGGATCTGTCTTATGACTTATCTAGCGAGGGGAAGGAAAGGCAAACTGACATGGACAGAAAAAGTTAGAAGTTTCTAACAAATGCACACTGTCCAGAAAAAGTTAGAAGTTTCTAACAAATGCACACTGTCCTCCAGCTTAGGCTTAGGAAGCATGTCCTGTCACATAACAAGATTTCCCTGTGGCTTTAACTGGATAATGGGGTTCCTGTAACAACATCCCTAAATCAAGCTAAACATTTGCTGCCAGATAAACATTCGTTGCCAGGTAAACATTTGCTGCCAGAAAACTAGCTAGTGGTTGTAATACATAGGCAAAGCATGTAGAAGTGCATTTGGCCAGCATAGAGGAATATAGTAGACACAGCATTAGAAATAATGAAGTTAGCCAAACATACATGCATTTATGAAGCCAACCACAAAGATTTATATATATTTGTGAGAGAATAATTAATGTGGTTTCCAGTAGTCTACTCATTAGTTTTCTTCAATAACATCAAAACTATAGTTTAGGTGTAGAGTGGTCAAGTCAGTCATATTTCGTCTTCTAGGAGCCGTTTTTAAAAATGATCTGTTAGGAATACAATTTTATGCATTATATGGTAAGAACACATTCCTTATTAAAGTAATATCACATTTTAGGAACAAAACTATTTTATGTATAGATCGCTAAGAAGACAGTTGATTGTGTCAGATAGAAAAACAACTATTTTATACATAGCCTGCTAAGAACACAGCTATTTTATGTATTAAATGACGGGAATACAACATGTTTTTTAAAGTTATTATAGGAACATAACTAATGTCTGTATCAAATGATAGCTTCACTGCTAATGTTTTTAAATGTATAAGCTAAATACAGACACAACTGTTTTATGTATAACCTGATAGGAACACAATTTTTGTGCTAGATGATAGGAAATATATATTTTATGTAGCAGATGGTACCAAACACAAATATTGTGTGTAGCACATGGTAACACAGCTATTTAATGTACCAAATGATAGAAACAAAACTATTTTATGTATCATTTTGTAAGAACCAGCCTTTGTATTCATCAAATGATTACGAACACAACAACCATTTTATGTATCAGTTGATGACACCTCATACATTAAGTGAAACAATAAGAATATTATCAAGTTGTAGGTGTGTTTTAGATATCACTGCTTTATACACACACACACACCCAACTCCCCCCCCCCCCCCTTACCCCCCCCCCCCCCCCCCCCCAATGTTTGCAGAGATAATCATATACTTTTATAGTGCTCTTTAAACTGCGGACATGGAGATTTTACAAATTCAATTTGAAGGGATGTTTTCCTAAGATAACCTGGGTTCAAGCATGGTGCCGTAAGGGATAGTTTTAATGAAGTGCAATTTATAGAATATTGTATTTAAAAGATGAAAATATTTAGGGTATTTTATTACTTGCATAAGTTAACATATTTTGTTGATTAGTTTATTTATTGTAAATTTAAAGTTTTAAACTAATTTGTTCATGGTGAAAGTTAAACATATTTTTTTAACTGTTTTATTCACTATGAAAGATAAATTATATATATTTTTTAATATTTCATTTATTTTCGAAAGCAAATATACTTTTAAATATTTTATTCATTGTAAAAGTGAGTATTTTCTCTAATATTTTTTTCCTTTGGTAAGGTATAGAATGGTTAACTAAATTTTTTTTTTTGTTAAAGATATTTTTTAAAAACTTTTTTTCATTGTAAAAGACACATTTTACTTGCTCATAGAAACACACATTATGCATATTTGAAAGATACAGTGTAAATTTCACAATCTCTGTTTTAGTTATTTGTTCAAAACTGACAACTATAAGGATAACAGTTGTATATGTGAACTATATGTGACACAGCAGATTTAGTACATTGGGTGAAGGGATTTTAAAAAAAAATTCCATGTCTCTCCCACCCACCCCCACCTGGCCACCAACATTATCTCCTACTTTCCTCCTCTCCTATTTTATCCACATTGAGACAGTAGAAATTCTTTTCTAACAACATTTTTTTGGGTGGGGTAAAAATATTTTTATGGTGTTATTATTATTATTTTTTCTCTCTCCCTTTTTCCATCACTTTTTTGCATTGTTTGTCAGCTAATTCTTTATTTAGGCTTTCCATCTTATCAGTTTAGTTAATAATAAATTGCTCAGATCGATGTCATATATACAAAGATACACAACGGTGATAAAATCCAGCTTGATGTTTGCTTGGCTGTTGTTAAATGTTAGTGTTGTCAACTGATTAAAATATCAAGAACAAGAAGAAAATGAATTATACTTCATGTAAATTATGTTTGTTTCCTTGAGCAAGAGCTTGACAAGAAATGTTATATAAACCACTTGCAGACTGTCAAAAGTCAAACTTTATATTTGAAATAACATAAATTTATAAATTCTGAATTTTATGCTTTTCTGTGGTATAATGGTTTAATATTTAATTTATATACTCGTATGTGGCATAATAAGACAGTAGTGACTATTTTATTAGAACAAAATAGCCATTATTTCAGTTTCACTCAGAAGAACCATATGGAATGATTCTTCTTACTGTTAATGAAACTTGCAAGCATATTTCTATAACTGTAGGTCAGGTATTAGTTGTCTTGATTTTTTTGGTTTTATCTTTAGGCTAAACTAGTATTTACAAGATAGTATCCATAATATATAGAACAGATCATTTCCGTGCTAGTAAGGCATTAAATATATGGTGCCAGACCCATATTTGTTTAGACTGAGCAGCATTTAGTGTATGATAGTGTCAGTATCACATACCACCTTTACTGGTCAGGAGGTTTCAGGTTTGAATAATGGATCAACATCATGGCATGGCACACGGGTAGTAACACAGTGCACAGGCTCTGTAGCACCGGTGAGAATCCTGAAATACTTTGGCTAGATTTTTAACTCTAAATTTTGCCCGGACAGCACTGCCAGACTACTCTTTTCAATTTCCAACTACCAAGAGATTTTTTGTGTGTGCAACATTACACACAGGTGTCCAATCTCACTACCCAGAGACCAATGGGAATTACTAGAAGTTCAAGTCCTCTAGCACTCGAGTCAGACACCATGCGTCGAGACCACGCAGCTCCTTTCTAGCCAGGAGATTTTCAGATACCCTTTGAAGGCTATGTTTACTTGAGAATCAGGGCTAGTTATTTTGCCGGAGTAAAAAAATCTGCTCCAATTCTCATTCAAACTTTAGGGTGCGTAGGTGACTAGATACACTGATACTACCTTTGCCTGTAATTTATGTTGTATGTAAAGTCTCCATACACACCATATTCTGTGATACAGCTCAGCAAGTGTGGCCTTAAATAATATGCCTTGTCTCCACCTTTTAAGCATAAATTAAAAGGCAATCAATTAAGGTTTTGCTTGAATAGTGAAAAAGAATTGTTTGAATAAGGTGCCATAGAATGAAAAGTGTCTGTTTATCATTTGTTGTGCCCTATATTAGAAGAGGCTGTCTAAATTCTTGAAGAGCTTTGCATTTTTAAAGATATTATTTATATAATGAACAAACAGACAATGTATTGATCAGCACTCATAGAAAGATAGAAGGACATACTAAACAACATAAAAATAAAAAGCTATAGTTACTTTACCTGGAATCAAACCTTTCCAGCAAGGTATCTATAGCTTTCAATTTTTATGTTATCTAATGTGCCCTTCTATGAGTGCTGATTAAAACGTTGCATGTTTCTTTAAATATATATATATATTTCTTTGGCCTCAAGATTT